TCCCAAAAATAAATAAACGTTGAAAAAAAATTTTTTTTAATTAATTTTTTAATTTATTTATTTTTTTATTGACATTGTAAACTATATTGTAAACTATATTAAAGTATACTTTACACACAATGTGACATTAGTTTCACGTGAGCCAGGTATTATTATTATCTTCCTTTTAAAGATGAGGAAATTGAGGCACAAAGAGGTCCTCTTACTTGCCCCAAGTCTTACAGCATTTAAGTTGGGATCTGAACCCAGGCAGTGCAGCTTCAGAATCTGTGCTCTGAGCACTGCACCCCCCATCCCTGCTGCTAACTTTTCAACATTACTGTCCTAATAGCCTAGTCATTCTCATAACACCTATTACACGATAAAAAGGAATGGGGAATTATTCTTCTGATTTGATATGCAAGGAAAGCATACAGAGAGAGTAAGTTACTTGCCTAGATTCAAGTTTCCCAAAAGCAACAGAAAATGACTTCTTGGAAAAAGTGTTGGCTGCTAGAGGCCTTTTGAGCTGTCAGAGATTGTAAAGGCTACTAAGCATGGCCCACAAGTGAATCAAGAGTAAGTATGCTAAAAGAGGCATGTGAGTGTATCAATCTAGCAGTATTTAATAAAGAGCTGGCTGTGGATGAGAATGAGCAATGACGCTCAACCTCCTTGTAAGAGGCTGGGGTTTGCTTTAAAAACGTACTCCACTTCTTTTCAGTAGTAAAACTCTACAACCAAGACACATAAAAACAAAGTAACTGTTTTAATTCTGGTTGGATTTTACAATCTGAAAGTCCACATAATGTAAAAAGTACTAGATGAGAAAACTCAAGTCTTAATAACTCCCATCTATCTACTGAGCACTTACTATATACCAGGTACTGCACCAAAAACCTAAAATGTATTATCTCATTTAACTTTCAGGACACACTTACAGGTATATACTATTACTGGCTCCCTTTGAAACAGAGGCTCAGAAACAATATCTTGTCCAAAGTTATGCAGTTGTAGATTCTAAATCTGAATCAAGATGTCTGCCCATGCTCTTATTAACCACACCCTGTTAGCTATGTGGTCGCAATTTAACTGCCCATAAAAGTGGTTAGTCTGAAAATGCTATGTGTCTGTGATGGCCTTCTCGAATCATCACAATCAGGGGCACATACCTCCACATCAAAGTTGGTCATGTCAGCCTTCCACTTAAAATAATCTTGAACACCACCCCCAAAATCTCTTGCAGCCTCATTTGAGGAAAAGCAGTGTTTTTCTCCTGCCCTGTTGCATGTGACTCTAAACTTCAGCACCTCAGGAGTTTCTTCTTTTGAGCCTTCATCAGTCTCATCTTTGCAAGATGCCAAATCATCCCCTACTAATGTTGATATCTCTTCTTTAATGGCTGGATTTTCGTAATAGTCTAAGATACGGGAATCTAAGGTTTTGTTGGTGAATCCTTTTTTATCATCCCTCTCATCTGCTTTATCTCCTTGTCCATTATCAATCTTCTCTTTACTTGAATTCTGATTTATCTTTTTGCGCTTTGTTTTTTTTTTCTTGAAACTGGTGTTAACATTCCATACTTTTAAAGGTTCTGACCATGGAAGCTTCCCAGCCAACTCTTCAAAATCCTTTAAAACTTCTTCCTGTGAAAGACAGAGAATGATGAAATCCATGCACCTCTCACCACTTTCATTGAACAAATCTCTACTCAGCCTATAGATGCTGGAGGTGGTAGGAGTGCAGAACAAAAGAGGAAATAGGTAATGCCTACAATTAAGGAAATTAAAATCTCATTGAAAATTAAGATACACAAATTAAGCCACTAATACATAATACAAGATAGAATAGGAGATCAGAGGTTGGGCTTCAAGATTAAAATGTAAGCAGTCAGAAAGTATTAACGATTACCTCTGGATAGAAGTGGGTGGGTAAAGATAGGGGAAGGAGGACAACTTACCTCTCACTGACTGACCTCCTTCTGAATTTTGTGCTGTGCAAACACACTACTTTTTTTTTCTTTTTTTTTTTTTAAAACAGAGAGAGAGAGCACAAGTGGGGGAGGGGCAGAGAGAGGAGACACAGAATCCAATGCAGGCTCCAGGCTCCGAGCTGTCAGCACAGAGCCCAATGCGGGGCTCCAACTCACAAATTGCGAGATCACGACCTGAGCCGAAGTCAGACGCCCAACTGACTGAGCCACCCAGGCGCCCCCACACTACTTTTAAAAGTAATACTCTTTTAAAGAGCAATAGTTTTTAAAAGGGACAACAAAGCAAAAAAAAAAAACAAAAACAAAAACAAAAAAAAACAAAAAACAAAAAACCCACAAAAAAAAAGTAAAAACAACCTTAAGCAGTTAAAAACCTATCTATCCAATTTGTAAATAACGTCTAGAATCATCTTTTTATATATTTTTTTAACGTTTATATTATTTTTGAGAGAGAAAGAGAAAGAGAGCGTGAGCAGGGGAGGGGCAGAGAGAGGGACAGTCACAGAATTCAAAGCAGGCTTTGGGTTCTGAGTTCCGAGCTGTCAGCCCAGGGTCCGACATGGGGCTCGAACTCATGAACCATGAGATCATGACCTGAGCCGAAGTTGGACACTTAATTGAGCCATCCAGGCACCCCTAGAATCATCTTTTTAAAATGTAAATCTGATCATGTCCCTCCCTTCCTTAAAGTCCCTCAACAGCTTCTCACTGCACATAAAAAAATCTAAATTCCTTAAAAAGCCCAGTATAGGGGCGCCTGGGTGGTTCAGTCGGTTAAGCATCTGACTTCAGCTCAGGTCATGATCTCACAGTCTGTGAGTTCAAGCCCCGCATCAGGCTATGTGCTGACAGCTCAGAGCCTGGAGCCTGTTTCGGATTCTGTGTCTCCCTCTCTCTGACCCTCCCCCCCGTTCATGCTCTGTCTCTCTCTGTCTCAAAAATAAATAAATGTTAAAAAAAAACTAAAAAAAAAAAAAGCCCAATATAATCTGACCTCTGCCTATTTCTCTTACATCACCTCAGGACTGTTCTTTTTACCTCTGCTTAGAAGATAATTGCTTCACATGGTCTCTGTACTGCTGGCTCCCTTGTCATTATTTTGTGTAACATTTATTTCTTTTTGAGAAAGATAGAGGATAAGCAGGGGAGGCAGAGAGAGAGACATAGAATCCGAAGCAGGCTTCAGGCTCCAAACTGTAAGCACAGAACCCAACATGGGGCTCGAACCCACAAACTGTGAGATCATGACCTGAAGTCAGATGGTTAACCGACTAAGCCACCCAGGCGCCCCTCGCCTAGTCATTATTAATAGTAATTTAAAAGGCATATCTTCTGAGAGACCTGCTCTTCATAACACAGTCCTCTCAAGTCATTCTCTTCCCATTCTCTTTACAGAGCTAAGCATTATCTGAAGTTACCAGATTTATGTTTTGTTCGCTATCAAAGCTTCTCCCAGAAGAGGGTGGAAAGGACCTTACCTGTCTTGACTACTTCTATAAGCCACATGCCTACAACAGCGCATGGCATACAAATGGTTTTCAATAAACAGCTGCTGGATAATATGTGATAAAATGTTAAAATGTGTGGTGCAGAGCCATGCCATCCAATACAGCAGCCATTAGCCACATGTAGCTATTGAAATTAAAATGATTTAAAATTAAAAGCTCAGGGGCACCTGGCTGGCTCAGTTGGTAGGGCATGTGACGATCACATGAGTCATGAGAGTCATGAGTTCAAGCTGTATGTTGAGCTTAGAGGTTACTTAAAAAAAAAAAAAAACTCAGTTTCTCAATCACATTAGCCACATTTCACACACTAATGGCTAGTGGTTAGTGCTGGACAGTAGACCTAAAACATTCCCATCAGAAAGTTCTATTGCAGAGTGCTGGTATATACAATATATGGTACTGAACATCAAGTTAGAAAGAGGTCAGTGTTCACTGATGGAACTGAGACTTGAAATGGGGATGAGGTGAGTGAAGGCTTTCATACTACTTGAAACCTGACGAAATAATGGTAAATTTCAGGTTTGGCAAATTCAATTCTGTATACAAATTATTTCCCCATAAAAGGCATCTACAGGTCTTGGAGATTTAATATAATGGAGAACACTAGTATAGCCCCTTTCTTTCTCTAGACACCATTCTAAACACCACCAACAACAGAAATACCAACTGTATCTTTTTAAGTTTTTTTAATGTTTATTTTTGAGAGAGAGAGAGAGATAGGGAGAGAAAACATGAGTGGGGGAGGGGCAGAGAGAGAGGGGGACAGAGGATCCGAAGCAGTCTCTGTGCTAACAGCAGAGAGCCCTATGCGGGGCTCAAACTCAGGAACCCTGAGATCATGTCCTGACTCGAAGTCAGACACTCAACCAACTGAGCCACTGAGGTGCCCCACCAACTTTATCTATAGATAAAGTAGAATCTATATGATACCTATAACCTTGAACCATAATATAACAATTCTAACATAAGATTCCCAAGTGCAGTGAAGGCCAAACAGAGGTATAGGAAGACACCAGACAAAGGTCTCAGACAAAGGTCAGAGAAGTCTACAAAGAAGTAGCAAAATAAACTCTCCTTTGGAATAGCAGGGCAAGTATATATACTGACAGAAGGAGCTTCCTTGAACTTCATCTGTAACAAGAATAAACAGGGGAGAGAAATGGAAGCTGAACAAGGAATCTTACAGACATGGTCTATTTGCTGGAAACAGTGTCGATGAGGTAGAGCTGGGGAGAGATGTTCTACACTGTAAATAACCCTGAAGCTGCTGATCCCTTCAGGCTAGAGAGACATAATGGTTAAAAGAACTTATGCAATAGTATGGAAATTATACCTCAATAATGCTGTTAAAAAAAAAGAAGGGGAGACGGCAGGGGTGGGAAAAAAATTAAGGAAGGAAGAGAGAACTCATTCATCTACAACCAAGAAGGAACTTCACAGTGAAGCAGGGGAATTTCTTGCTGGCCTGGAACAGTTCCTGGCTTCTCCCAGAAGAACCTCCTAACAATAGCAGGTCCAAGAGGAACTTCCTCATTCACAGATGACCAATCATCAAAAGTTACCAGCACAGCACTTATATGAACATAAGAAAGGACAAAGGAGGAAAGAAACAGAAAAACAAAGGGAGCAGACAAAAACAGGGACCAGAAAGACACTGCCACAGAGCAGCTGAAAACTTTGACCAATGGGGCGTCTGGGTGGCTCAGTCGGTTAAGCCTCCGACTCCTGATTTCAGCTTGGGTCATGATCTCACAGTTTGTGGGTTTGAGCGCAGGCAGTCAGTGCAGAGCCTGCTTGGGATTTACTCCCTCTGCCCCTCCCCCACCCATGCTTGTTCTCTCCCTCTCTCTCAAAAATAAGTAACAAAAAAACCTCAAAAACTGTGATAAAACAAAATAAAAAATGTAATGAGGAAATACCTTTGTAAAATAAGAGCTCCAAGCGGAGATATAACAGTGGAAAGGAGATGAGGTAAGCCACCATAAAAAGATGAAACAGGAGCTCACAGATGTCAAAGAGTAAGTGGAATTAAAAAAAAAAAAAAAAAACAACACCGCAAAATGAAGACCATATGGAAAGCACCACATATAAAAGACACTGATGAAAACACAGTAAGTAATGTAGAGAAAAGTAAAGCAAATACAATGGAAATAAGCAAAAAGTATACAAAGAAAATGATAAAATATGAAACAAAGTCAGGAGACCCTGCATATGTACAACTGGTTTATCTCTGAAAAGGATCTGACATACTGAAACAAAAAATATTTTAGGGTCACCTGTCTGGCTCAGTGGGTGGAGCATGTGACTCTTGATCTCAGGATCACGAGTTCCAGCTCCATATTGGGTGTAGAGCTTAATAAAAAAAATAGTAACTCAAGAAAACTTTCAAGAAATGTATGTGGATGTGAACTTCTCTACAGACTGACATGTCTTGACAAGGAATTATCATGAGACATATCCTGGTGAATTTATGAGACTTCAGAGATTAAAAGTAAAATCTGGGCATGAAGCAAAAGTATCAAAAAAGCAACAAGTAAGGGGGAAAAATATCAAGATAGCTTCAAAAATTTTTCATGGCAACATTTAACACTAGAAGAAAATGAACACAGCCTACGGTATTTTTCAGGAAGAAAAGCATGACTCCAAATTTTACACTTAAACTATTCATCAAACATAAAGGTAAAAAACAATCATTTCTGAACTACTGCCATTCAAGTGATAAAAAGAAAACTAGGATTATGACTACAGACAACACTTAAATATTACAAACAGGAAGGTAGCTGGAGGCGAAAGGAAAGAGGAGATGCTGATATCCTCCTCCACCAAGAGATTAAAGGGTATGGGGTGCCTGGGTGGCTCAGTCAGTTAAGCGTCTGACTTTGGCTCAGGTCACCGCATCGGGCTCTGTGCCGTCAGCTCGGAGTCTGGAGCCTGCTTCAGATTCTGTCTCCCTCTCTCTCTGCCCCTCCCTGCTCACGCTCTGTCTCTCTGTCTCAAAAATAAAGATAAAAAAAAAAATTAAAAGAGATTAAAGGATAGAAATTAAAGCCTACAGATCAACACTAAGATGAATAATAAAACTTCAGGGGAAAAAGGAAGGAGGGGAGGGTTAAACTATCTTATTAATGAGAAAAATGACCCTACAGGTAGTGCCTGGCTGGCTTAGTCGGAAGAGTGTGCAACTCTTGGTTTGGGGTCATGAGTTCAAGCCCCACATGTGCAGAGATTAAATAAATGGAACTTAAAGAAAGAAAAATGACCCTCAGATTAAATACACACAAGGATGTACAGAAGATATTTGTTCAACCACCATAGTAGCAACAGTCTGAAAAAACCTGATGTCCTAAATAGGGGTGATTAAATTAAGATGTAGTGAAACCTAGTGATGATATTGGCATGCTCTTCAAGATATAGGAGAAAAAGCACAGCACAGAACAGTATGTATGGTATGTTTTCATTTGCGTAAGTAAATAAAATGCACATATTTATAAAATATCTCTAGAAGAATATCCAAGAAATTGGGAATGATTCTTGCCTCCAGGGAGGGAACTGCATTGTATGGAGATATAGGAACAAACATTTCCACTGCGTATCCTTTTTGGTCTTTACAATTTTCCCCTAAATTACCTAGCTTAAAAAAAAAACATATAAAGCACAAATGTTAGCTTTTTGTTTTTTTAAACAGGTTAATCAATTCATGATATTATCTGAATACTTAAAAAGGAAAGGACCTATCAGGATGCTAATCAAGCCTTTTTATAAGACATGGGAAAGTATAATGCTACAGCGAAAATGAGTCAACAAAAGGCAAGAAGCAAATCTTTATTTACTTACTTTTTAAAGTCTTTTGGCTTTGTTTTTTTAGAGAAAGAAAAAGAGAAAAAGTAGGGGAGAGGGGCAGAGGGAGAGAGAGAATCCCAACTAGGCTTCACACTCAGCACAGAGTCCGAAGTAGGGCTCGATCCCACGACCCTGGGATCATGACCAGGGTGGGATGCTGGCACCCAGGCGTCCCAAGAAGCAAATATTTAAAAACAAGCTTTTACTGGGGCATGGTGCAAATAAGTCCTCAAAGTGAAAGGCTAAATCATTTTTCATGGTCACACATATGCTCTTGCATAGTTCTGAAAATCTACTTTAATCCTTGCTGCTCTTCTTTTGGGACTTTATCAGCAACCTCTTCTGGCAGTTAACTTACAAGGCTACTCTGCAAAGCTGGCTCATATAGAACCATTACATAGTATCAAATTCACCTCCAATTAGAGATCAAACTGCACAAAGTAATACAAAAATATTAATAATGCTGTAAAGGCAAGAATTTAAAGTGAAACTTTACAGGGTTTTTAATATTTTTTTAATAGTTTTTAAAAATGCCTGTTAGCATTTACTCATGTATAGAATTAGCTATTAAAATTTCCAAATACTAAGCAGCAAAAATTTTCAGCAGCTGCCTGTTATGTCTAGTTTCATAGACATGATTCAGTTGACAATGATTATCAGAAGTCTGCAAGATTATACTACTAGTGCTGAAAGTTATATTCTTAATAAAATTTTAATCTGTTTTCAGTTGGAAATCTTTTAGGTCTGTTTTTATTTTTTCTAGGCTGTGGGTTCACATCACTTTGATTGGTTATTGAATAATGCTTCGGAAATCAATCTGTTGCCAATAAATAAAAATCAGAGAATCAGGTAGTATATCATGGATTTAAAAGACACAGTGTTTCTAATATAAGAAATAAAACTGATAGAAAAGTTTTCAAGCATCTGACTCTGGAAACCTGACTAAAAAACAATGTGGAAAAATACTAAGACCTTACTGAAATCTCTTTTTCAAACTTCAACTTAGGCAGCATATCAATATTTAGAAATCAGATGCTAAATACAAGTTGGAGACAAAGCTGTTGCCTTAACAAGTAAATGAGTATTTACATATTAGCTATATTTCAAAATATGATGTTAGAGAAGGTAACAGTTCTACAAAAGAAAGAACTGTGAGAGAAAGTGTTATTTGTAGACGACTCAGTCACTTAATCTTTGATTCATAGCCTGGAAGCAATTCTACTCTAAAACCATGTATGTCAGTAAAGCTAATCTAAGGTATGTATCTTTTGGTAAGAAAGTCACACAACTTATTTTATTTCTTACACACTTTTATGTTTTTCTATATTGACTTTCACTTACTTGTTTTTTTGTTATTCTCTCATCTTTTTAAAAAGAAGAGTAACATATAACATTATTTTAGTTTCAGGTATACAACATGATTCAATATTTGTATATATTGTGAAAGGATCACCAACCAATGTCTAGTTCATATTTGTAACCACACATAGTTTTAAAATGGTTTTTGTGATGAGAACTTTTAAGATCTACTCTCTTAGCAACTTGCAAATATGCAACACAGTATCTTTAGCTATAGTCATTGCTATACATGCTATGTATATAATATATAGTCAATGCTCTACATTACATCTCCATGTAATTTTACATGGTATAAATTTGTACCTTTTGAGCCTTTCCATCCATTGTGTCCACTACCCACAATATTGATTTTTTCAAAACAACTTTTGAGATGGACTGTCCACCAATCTCTGAATTTTATTATAAAAGCCTCCCAGGATTCTAGATTATAAAAGCAGTAGTAATGCTAAATGTTAGAATGCAAAAAGTGGAAATAATCTCTTTGGGGAGAGACTGAAAGTCAGCTACTGTGGGAAAACTCACCTTTGTTTCTTTGAACTGGTAATCTTTAAACTCCTTAACAACCACAAATAAGTTATCAACTGATCTCAGACAATGAACCTGGGGGAGGGAAAAAAATGTTAGAAACAAATTTATGAGAAAGCTTTTGAATCACACAAACTATCAATATTTAAATAAAAAAATGGGGAAGGGGAGCGCCTTGGTGGCTCAGTCAGTTAAGCATCCAACTTGGGCTCTGGTCAAGATCTCGCGGTTTGTGGATTCAAGCCCTGCAAGGGGATCTGTGCTGAAGCTCAGTGCCTACAGCCTACTTCAGATTCTGTGTCTCCCTCTCTCTCTGCTCCTCCCCCACTCGTGCTCGCGTGCACACGCGCTCTCTCTCTCTCTCTCTGAAAAATAAACATTTTACAAATTTAAATACAAAAATTAAATACAAAGATTTTAAAATAGGTAATACCTATAATTTGTATTTTAACTTTTCTCATCTCCCCAGTCTCCCATGTTTTGGGTTCCCCATTAGCTTCTATACTCCTACAGAAAAGGAAAAAGGAAGATGGAAGGATAGCTTTAAAATGTTACCTGGGAAACACAGGTTTGGGGGAGAAAGGAAAGATGAAGACAGTCAAGTGGGGCTTTACTGTATATTTCTCTCATGGCTCCCTATGGTACACTGTATCCTGTGCAGTGGTTAAGAGCACAGGGCTTGAGCTCCAGCTGTGATTACTAACTGAGTGACCCTGGGCCAATTACTTATCCCTAAGCCTAACGATTAATGAGGATAATAATAGCACCTATCTTCTCAAAGCTGCTAAGGTTATGTACTAAGATACTGGGTGGAAAATATCCGCTTCCCATCCATCCCACAAATATTTATTGGATTTCTACTATATGCCAGACACTAAGAGCGTGGGAGATTTCAGCCAAAACAAAAACTCAGAAAATTCCTGCTCTCATGATGCTTATATGGTTATGAAATAATGGTTAGCTTTTATTCTAGTGGAATGGCAGTTTGCTGACCTTCACTTCTCCATTTCAATGATTCCTAATTACTTTTGAGCAAGTATTTCTTTCACACAGATTAAAAGAAAAATCTCTCCTTATACACTTCACCACCAAAGTCTACACTTCAGCTAAATGCCGAAGTAAATAAATTCAAAGATGTTTGGCAGATATTCAGAATTTCTTCAAAAGTCACAAAGGATTCTTTCTGGCGAAATTCATCCTCAGGAAATATTAAGATCACTTCTAAAAATATAGCAAATCTACTAGTCAAATTCACAAATCAGTACCAAATAGAAAATGCAGTAATACTTTAAAATAACCAGATTTGAGGCAGAGTAAAGAAAAGCAAAAAAGATTCAAGAGGGGTCTGTAAATCAGAAAGTAATCATAAAATGACCCTTTCAGAAAACTATTTTTAATATTGCTTCATTCAAACCTGAGCCAGACTTTCCACTGAAATGTCAAAATATATCTTGCCCCGGTCTTTGCTGATTTTGCACGATGACCCCAATTTCTCTCTCACTTCATCTGCAGCTGTTTGCTCAAAACCGGTAGGTACAGTGGCTCCAATAGTGACTTGGAGGTGCTCAGACTCACTTCTGGGAGCACTTTCTGTCACTTGTATAGACCTCTGGTTCCCATGAAGGTTCACATCCAGAAGTTGGTTAGTGGCTTCTTGAACATCAGACATGTTGGCAGTGCTTCCAAGATTCCTAATACAGTCCCTTTAAAAGCAGTACAGAAAAGAAAAAAAGATAGCGCCTAAACAGTATCACCTCATAGTTCATCTATAAATAAAAACACCTGCTTTGGAGGGCTGGAAGAACAAGGCCACACAACTCAGTAACACAACTGTTACCGCCATATTCATTCAACACGCCTGAATCAATATTCACTGAAGATAAAAGGATTGAAGAACATGGGCACAGAGGGTAAGATGTAAACTGTGATATTACTAAACAAGGAATATGCTGAGGAAGAAAAGGAGACAGAGGAATAGGAGTATTTCCATAGCATGCAATGTTTGGTTTGCGATCATCTGTATTAACAGCCAGCTCAATTCCCAAACAAAGGCTGCTAGAGCACATTCAAATATAGTTCCAAATCCAGTCCTTTTTCAGCTGGCAGTTGAGAATATGAGCCTGTGGAACTGCAGACATGGGTCTGAATTCACGCTCTCACCATTCACAGGGTGAATGGCCTAAAAAGTTTACTCTTCTATGCTTCAATTTCCTCATCTGCAAAATGGGAATTAAATAATACCTCTCTCCTAGAGTTGTTGGGAGATGTAAGGGACAAGAAAATACTGCCAGACCCATGACTAAAACTTGCTATTAGGATATCTATCTTTCTCCTATGAAGTGGACAGGGACTCATGCGTTTAAAAATGATTAACTGAGGGGCGCCTGGGTGGCTCAGTCGGTTGAGCGTCCGACTTCAGCTCAGGTCACTATCTCGCGGTCCGCGAGTTCGAGCCCCGCGTCGGGCTCTGGGCTGATAGCTCAGAGCCTGGAGCCTGCTTCCGATTCTGTGTCTCCCTCTCTCTGCCCCTCCCCCGTTCATGCTCTGTCTCTCTCTGTCTCAAAAATAAATAAACGTTAAAAAAAATAATAAAAAAAAATGATTAACTGAACTTCTAGGATCTAATGGACTGCAAATGTTTGAATGCCTACCACAGGCCAAGCTCTGGGATCCACGGGCAGAAACAGTATATGAAATATCTGAAACAGTAAGCCAATGTCCTGTATCTGAGCAAAGAGGGGGGGCTGGGGGGCGGGATTTAGAGAGGTGGGAGGTGGGGATCAAGAGCTCTCATCAGATTCTCAAAGGCTTGGTGACCCAAAAAAACTTAAGTAGGCACAGAGTACCCACACTGTACAGTTCTGTGCCAGGACAAGCAACAATGTATATACACTAATAAAAGTCAGTTCCAGCCCTTAAGGAGCTCATAATCCCTGTGAATACAACTTCCATCTTCTAATTAAAGCAGCTGAAGCCCACGAAAGGACATATCCCGCCCAAGGTCAGAGAGAGAGCCGATCAGTGACGCTGGCTGGAATAAAACCCACGTCTCCGGACTCCCACGCGTGCGGGTGAAGGCCTAGCAGAGGACAAAAAGGGATCCACAATAGGATCGGGCTGAAGTCCAGCTCGGTGCCGGCTCGGGTCGCAAGACAAAGGTCACCCATCCCTCCCGAAGGTCGCCAGCGCCACACCCGGCCACTCCCACCAGCCGCCCGGTTACCGGTAGCCAGCGCAGACCCTTCCTGATGCGGCAACCCGCCAGCCCAGCGCGCCCAGGTCACGCCGCCGGAAGCCGCCTGGACTACCCCGGAAACGGAAGTCAGGGGGCGCCGTCCCAGAAGCTCTGAGCTAGGGACGGGCCCTGGCGACAGTCGTGGAGAGAGCAACACGCGCCTGAAGGTCTGTGCGCGCTGACGCCGGGCAGGTGGGTTAGTAGCTGTTGCAGTTGGGGGCAGAATCTTCTACAAACCGAACTTGGAGAGCCCCAGACTTCGTGGCCTGTCATCATAGTAGCTAACATTTATAGCGTGCTTAGCCATGCCAAACACTGCGTAGGGCTTCACCTCGTCATTTCATTGTTCCAACAGCTTTTTGAAGTGGCACGGAAAATCCCAGGTTTAAAATCGGAAAATCTGAGTCTGAAAGAGGTTACATACCTTGCTGAAAGTTCCAGGCACAGCACGTTAGAAGCAGAACTGGGTTTTGAACCTGATGGTGACACTCCAGAATTCTTCCTCATCAGATTTGAGTCAGTGTTGTTCAAACTAGTCCCTGCGTTATATATAGCCTTCACTACTTTTGTCTAATTGCACTTTTGTTTACTTAATATTTTTCTTTAGATATATATTTTTAACTTATTTTATAAGGAAACGTGTGCAACTAAACAAAAATAACCCAATTTAAAAATGGGCAAAGGCCAGGGGCCCCTGGGTGGCTCAGTCGGTTGAGCATCCGACTTCCGCTCAGGTCATGATCTCTCAGTTTGTGAGTTCGAGCCCCGTGTGGGGCTCTGTGCTGAGAGCCTGGAGCCTGCTTCAGAATCTGTGTCTCCCTCTCTCTCTGCCCCTTCCCTGCTCATACTCTGTCTCTCTCTGTCTCTCAAAAATAAATAAAAGTTTTAAAAAAATTAAAAAAAATAAAAATGGACAAAGGCTTCAATATTTCTCCAAATAAATACACATGTGGCCAATAGTCACATGAAATGATGCCCAACATCATGAAGAAAATGCAAATTAAAGCCAAAGTGAAATACCTATTTTAGTGGCTAAATTTTTTAAACAATGGACAGTTGCAAGTTCCAGTAAGTATGTAGAATAATGGAGCATGTGTTGGTGGTGGCAGCGCAAGATGATACAGCCACTTTGTAAAACAGTTTAGCTTTTCCTCAAAAAATTAAGCAGAATTGGGGCACCTGGGTGGCTCGGTTAAGTGACTTCGGCTCAGGTCATGATCTGCGGTTTGTGAGTTCTAGCCCCGCATTGGGCGCTGTGCTGACAGCTCGGAGCCTGGAGCCTGCATTGGATTCTGTGTCTCCTTCTCTCTCTGCCCCTCCCCCACTTGTGCTCTGTCTCTATCAAAAATAAGTAAATGTAAAAAAAAATTTTTTTTTTTAATTAAACAGAATTGGGGTGCCTTTGTGGCCCAGTTGGTTTAGCATCTGACTCTTGGTTTTCAGTTCAGGTCACACTTTTTGGGTTCAAGCCCCGTGTCAAGCTCTGCACTGACAGTGCAGAGCCTGCTTGGGATTCTCTCTCTCCCTCACTCCTGCTCCTTCCATGCTCCCCGCACCCCACGCCCAATAAATAAATAAACTTAAAAAAAGGTTAAACAGAATTACCACATGACTCAGCAATTATACTCCTAGATGTATACCCAAGAAAACTGAAAAACAGATGTTCAAACAAAAACTAGTACATTATGTGGCTAAAGCATTGTTTGTAATAGCCCCAAAGTGGAAACAAGTCAAATGTTTGTCCATCAGCTGATGAACAGGTAGAGAAACGTGGTTTAAATATCCATACAGTAAAATATTATTCAGTCATAAAGAGAAATGAAGTACTGTACTGATTCATGCTACAAAATGGATAAACCTTGACATTATGCTAAGTGTGAAAAGACTAAGATTCTCTTAGTATGAAATGTCCAGACTAAGCAAATATATAGACACAGAAAGATGAGTGGTAGTTTAGGGCTGGAAAGAGTGAGGATATTGGGAGTGGTAGCTAAAGGGTATGAGGTTTTTCGGTGGGGGGGGGGGGGGGGGGGGAGTGGGTTGATGAGAATGTTCTGAAATTGGATAGTAATGATTGTTGTACAGCATTGTGAATATACTAAGAAACTGTACAGTTTAAAATATTTAAAATAGTGAATTTTATGTTATGTGAATTTTATCTCAAAGGAAACTTTGGTCTCATGGGAAACTCATCTGGAGTTTCCTCTAATGCAAAATGATACTTCTTTCTTAAGAGTTATTGCAGGATTTAAATGAGATTAACATGTTACCAGTCTCCTAATTGAAGTAGACAATGCCCCTAAAAATAGTACAATGAAAACAAGGTTATTAAAATTCTGGCCAGATACTGTTCACTGCAAAAGGCTCTGAATAGACTCTAAATATGAGGCCGTTCTCTATTCTCTAAAAGGATAAATTATCAAGTATCAGAGATAAACTAGCACTAAATGAGGCTTTCTTGACATGAGAAGGATTAAAATATTGAAAAGAAAAGATTATTTTACCTGATTCAGTGTTATTTAATGCAACACCTTTATACTATGTAAAATCATTTATAAACAGATTTCACACTTAGGGAAGCATTGCTGTAAGGCATATTATTTGCCTGTGGAATCATGTTAGGTGTCATTTAAGTGACAGCATTTATTGAGCAGCTATTACGTGTCTGATATTCTTTTAGGCACTAGGGATACAGCAGTGAAAAATTCTTCTAGAGCTTATATTCTAATGGAAAATACAGACAATACAGGAAACGCATAACATTCCTGACATGATGAGAATAATGGAGAAAAATTAAGCAAGTTTGGGGAATGGAGAGTGCTGGAGAGATGGAGGGGAATGCTTACTTTATATATCAGGTGGTTAGGAAAAGCTTCTTTGATAAGGTAACAAAGTAGAGCCTGAAGGAAATGAGAGAGTAAGCTACTTGATTATCTGGGAGAAGAGCATTTCAAGCAGAGGTCAAGAGGATGTTCAAAAGGGTCTGGGAAGATCCAGGAGATCAGTGTGGCTGGGGAGGAGTGGATGAAAGGGACAGAAATAGAGGATTAGGTGGGGTGGGTACAACATATAGGCCACTGTTTCACAAATTATCAAGCATTCAAAAAGGATCACTCTGGCTGCTGCATGGGCAAGGATGGAAACAGTTACCAGACTATTTCAGTGGTCCAAGTGGAAAATAATAATAATGGCTCAAATTAGAGTATTAGTGGCTGTGGTGAGAATTGTCAAATTCTGTTGTATTTTGAAGGATGACCTATCATTGCTGGTGGATTGGATGTGGTTTTGAAAAGAAGGTAAAGGGTAAGCGTCAGACCTGGTCAATTTGCTGGTCTAAAGTGCCCTACTCTTGGGGGATGCCTGCTGAAGAACTGCTGAAATGCTGTGAAGGAAGTAAACATGGACAACTTTGCTCTTTAAAGTTCTGATTCTGATTTATTGCAAAGAATTTTAGCTTATATCAGAAAAACCCTGATATCTACTGTAAAAGTATTGATTAAAGTGGATCCTTGCTCCAAGATGCCAGTTTGGATAAGTGGCGTATATGAGTGGGAATAGAAGCCTCTAATTTCTTTCTAACTGGCCGTAGTGTTATGTTAAACTGAAGTGACCTCTATGTTATTAAGCACGTGATTAAATTTGGTAATTCCCATTCAGATATAGTGACACAAATTAAGAATTCGGCAATAGTTGTTCCCATGAACTCTGATATGTGTTTCACCCTAATAGCTGTCTATTCTTGCCTATTTTTAAGGCTAAGACAGAGTCACAGTTAGAAAGTCAAATAGTACAGCTACTCCCCAGCCCAGCCCAGCCCCTTCCTTTGCTCTTTTACAGAAGCAAGAACTATTAACTATTTCTTCCTTCAGTTCACATGGTGACTTCCTCCATGTCTCTAAATAACCTGCTTATAGTGCTGTTTCTTATGTTTTCAGTTTGGGGCATTGTCTACAGACTCTGTTACAATACTTGAGGTAGCCTATTAATATCCCCACCATCCTATTTTGCCTTTCTTCCTCTTCCCATTAAAGTTACAACCCAGGGGTGCTTGGGTGGCTCAGTTGGTTAAGCATATGACTCTGATTTCACTCAGGTCATGATCTCACAGTTTGAGTTTCAGCCCCATGTCTGACTCTGCCTTGACAGCACAGAGCCTGCTTAGCATTCTCTCTCTCCCTTTCTCTATCTCGACCTCTCCCCGACTCACTCTGTCTCTCAAAATTAAATAAATAAACGTAAAAAAATGATACAACCCATATATGGGGTGCATGTCTAGCTCAGTCAGAAGAGTATGTGATGCTTGATCTTGGTGTCATGAGTTCAAACCCCATGTTGAATGTAGAGATTTTTATTTTTATTTTATTTATTTTATTTTATTTTATTTTTAAAAATATGTAATTATTTTGAGAGAGAGAGAGTGCACAAGCAGGGGAAGGGCAGGGAGAGACGGAGAGAGAGAGCCCTATCTGGGACTTGATTTCACAAACCGTAAGCTTGTGACCTGAGCCAAAATCAAGAGTCAGATGCTTAACTGACTGAGCCACCCAGGCACCCCAAATGTAGAGATTATTTAAAAATTTTTTAAACATTTATTTATTTTTGAGAGACAGAGTACAAGTGGGGGAGGAGCAGAGAGAGAAGGAGACACAGGATCCAAGGCAGGCTCCAGGTTCTGAGCTGTCAGCATAGAGCCCGAGACGGGTCTCAAACCCACGAACAGCGAGATCATGACCTGAGCTGAAGTTGGATGCTTAACCAACTGAGCCATTCAGGCGCCCCAAAGATTATTTTAAATAGATAAAGTTACAATCTGATATAGTTTGTTCCCGGATGTTAAATTTACAAAGTAAATTTAAGTGATATATTAAACATCTTTTTGTTCTGTCAACTATAGACAGCATCTCTTGATCCCTCATACTGTATGACAAGGGTTTTGTCAGCACTCCTGGCCTTTCCTCTACCTATTCTTCCTTCTTTGTACCTTCCATTTGGAATTCCATTTGGCAGGTTGGATCCCTGTGGGGATATAATTGAAA